TGAAAAACAATCGGTTCCTTTCGGAGACGTTTAATGTTAGAGTGCAAGAACGACAGTGTAAGTGTTTGAAAATTTTTAAGTGAAGAGTGACAGTGGTGTAATGAAAGTGCATTTGTGTATAAAAATCAATCGGCTGCTTTCAAAGACGTTTATTGATAGGACGTAGGAGCAACAATCTTAGTGTGTTAAAATTTTTAAGAGTGACAATGATCGTGCGGTGGATTGCGGGGTTCCTTCCCTGAACAGAAGATCAGCTGTGGCCTACCTGCGAGCGGCAAAGACGCTGACCCATTGACCGTGGCCCATCGTTAGCAGGTGCACTTGCGAATGAATGGGTAAGTCTAAATCTCTACAGTTTTTACATTTCCTTTTTAATTCAATATTCCCTGCGACTTGTTAATTCCTCATTTATCCTATCATCATTCATCAATTATCAACAATCTATCTCATCCATTCCACGTGAATAACGATTAAGTGTATTAATTGTTATTCATAATAACAAACGAACAACAATTTCCTTGCATTGTTATTAATGTAGTTTGTTATTCGTCATTTTCTTAAAACGCTTCGTTCCGAGCGGAGCGCTTGTTCAAACGCGAGAAAAGTCGCCCGGCTGTCTCCGAGCCAGCGCTCCCGAAACGGAGACCGCCTCAACCGAGCGCTCTGATTGGTCCGTGTTTTTTGTTAATAACTCGGTAACCAAGCCCCATTTCGTATTTTACCAAAGGAAATTGTTGTTCACAATGCTCCTCCCCATCTGCCATTTTCGGCTCTAACAATCTTTCCGGAACACCCTGTATAAATGATCAGAGATCGTGAGGTAGAGTTTCCGTGTCCGGACTTGGGAGACAGAGACAAGGGAGGGCAACGGCCAGACGCACGAATGGATCTCGGTGTTCGCATCTTGAAGGCTGGCGGCACGCGTCTGCAGCAAGGTGTGCCTCTCACTTTATTCATCCACCTCCGGTGTTCGCCGGCGAGAGCAGCTGTTGCCGGGGCCCGGCGCGTGCCACCAGGTACCTATATAATAAACCGGCCAGATAATGTCAGGGTGCGTGGCACCACGCTACCAAAGGGCCCTCCGCTTGTTACGGCCGCGAGGGGGTGAGGCGGGCACGGGGATGAGAGACCCGTGAAACCGGCCGGAGGAACTTTTTCGAGCCGTGGGGAGATCGTTTGTTTATCCTTCTCCCGTGTATCGAGCGTGGGCGGACTCACGCCTGTCTCTCTCCTTGTTGAACGTGCTTTTTTCTCTGTTTTGCTTCCCTCGGACGGTTTCACCCTCCGCCGCGATCGATCACTAACTTTTTGTTCTAATTGGCTTCGCCGGCATCGATCTACGGTGGAGAGGAAGTTTGCGGGACATCGTGGATGTCCGTTGTTGCAAAAAGGAAAGTAGATGAGACTGGATCAGAAGAATCATTTCGGGTCCTAAACTTGGTTTTCTACGAATTAGCTATTCTTAAATTAATACGAAAATCTACAGGATAAACTCGTTTTTTTATTAAGATATGAAAAAATTGAGTTTAGATGTTGAAAGCTCACAACGTGTATTTTCTCACGGGAAAAAACTGAAATTTCCCAGTAACTGAGTTTACCTTTCACATGACTCTTCCAGCATATAGTAGATTTAGATATCGGTTACAAGCAGGCTAAAAATCACGGGGGATCGGAGTCGGAGGGCTCTCGTCCCGAGCTAATAAAACTAAACGAGCTCGATAATCATCCCTCTACGCCCGTCGTTCGGGGATCCTTCCTCCCATCGCATCGTCAGATTAATTATCTAATGCGGCTCCAACATCTGTCATCGCCTCGTAGCTGTGGGCGCAGTTTCATTCATTCATTCGCACGCAGAACCGCACGTTACGCCTTTAAAAAAAATGAAACTTCCCTCTACATCTTTCTCTCCCCTGACCTTTTTTTCTATCGTGAATGTTTATTATCGAACATGAATAATCGAATTCGTTTCCAGCGTTCAAGCTCCGTGAAAGTTTTACTGCTAATTAACTATCATTAGTACCATTATCTCGACTCGGTTTCACTCAAGTACTACCTTTTAAAAGAGAAGATGTATTAAAAATTGTTTTTCATTTGGGAGCGTGGCCTGGCGTTATTTATCAACGGCCGACAGTTCATTACTCCAATTCATTATGACTGAAATAATCAAGATTTTAATTTGCGTGTAGAGATACGCCGCGCCGACCGCTTCAATGATACGCTAGCATGGCACAAACGTCGTCGCGGTTTACAAAGAAGTATTCAAAACTTTTTTAATTATCTCCATTCTGAAATACTCGTTTCACGATAACAAAAAAAATTGATTTACTCCTCATTTTCGTCAAAGTTAGATCTCTGACATAGAATACGTAATGTATTACGCAGAAACGTTACAGTTAGTCGTAAACAAGACATGCATGTGTGTGTATGTGTGTCGAACGTAAGCATGGCACAGAATATGAGAAAATGTCTCGTTACTTAGATTCCGGTAATAGAGACGCCGCCGATACGTATACTCAGTGTGTACTCCGGGTCCCGCCGGCAATTTATTAGCGTAACCTCTGTGATTAGGTTGCGATTTAATAAATGACCGTGCACTGGCAACGGTGAATTAAACGCAATAAACCCGGTACGGGGTTTAGCGTGACTCGGCCTCGATATACCGCGACCAATGTTCTTTGATAAGTTCGTCTGCAGATCGCCGATTAAGAAAACGCGTTACACACATGCGCTGAGAAAAAAAGTGTCTGAATTTAAAATTAGGACAATCAACAATAGGAATTGAGATGATTTTGTTTTAATTCATTCGCTTATATGTTCTAAATCGTGAATTTTGTATCAGTGGACAAAAGTAATAAGTTCTGAATTATGAAGACAATACTCGATTGAAGAATAATGAAGGATGTACGAGTTCCACGACACGTTGAGCCACATTAATTTTCTCTTCCACTTGATCCGAGTGACCCGTTGACCAAGAATCAATGGATTGATTAGTCAAGACACTTCCGTCATAAAGTAGGTCTGCAGTGACAGGTCGCCTTCTACGTCGCGATTCTTATTATCCTAAAAAATACGTCATTGATCGAATCTTCGGGATTGTTTTCCAAGTGTCATTTATGTTTTCCATTTTCGTAGGAAAGTTCCCATCATTAGGATACTCAATAGATTTAAAGAACTGAAACTATCGATTCTTCTATCTTTATTACTAATGTACCCATCAAGTTAAATGTAGATATTTCTTCATCCCAGATGCATAGTGATAAAACTGTGGAAATAAATGATCGATAGGACGAGGAAAGACCGCAGTTTTAAAATGACTTCTCAAGTAGAATAAATAGGTCTTGCTCAGACAGTAAGAAGAGTCAGCGATTAGAGAGAAGAATGGAAATGTGAAGATTATAAAAATTTGGAAATGGGAAGAGAGATGGGTGGTGAGAGATCGGTCTTTAAATCCCGTTAGCTTTCGTTTCGAGCGCCTCGTTTATCGGCGACGAGGCGTCGTGACGCGTGCCACGCTTGCTTATGCGGGCGCCGTGAGCTCGGCGACGCATCCGATACATTAGGCGTCACCGAACTATGGCTTGCACACGCTCGAAAATAGCCTGTTAACGTTCCCAACACGTGCTACCAGTCGTCCCACGAATTGCATAAAAGGGGTAGCTGAATGAAATTTAAATTCCGGATATTCAAATCGTCAAACTATTTCCAACCATCCGTGAGACTTCTATTATTCTCAGGAAAAAAAAATGCTCACATCACGCTGTCTTTGCACGATTTTAATTATCAAACAATCATCTAATGTATTGGAAATGAAAAGTTTTTATGGAATCCTCGTTAAAATTTCTTCAGCTCCCTGATATACGCGAACCATTTATTTGAAAAGAACGAGCTACTACGCAAGCTTGTTCGCATCCCGCATATCCGATTCCCCCTTTGAAAAAAAGAAACCGAAGGTAAAAAAACGGAGTCGAGAGAGATCAGTCACCTAATAAGAGTGTGAGCTCTACGGGGCTAGCCGGTAGGTGGATAGGTGGTTATAGGTTTAGCTGGCGAGCAAGCAGGCGAGCGAGTAGAAGCGAGTGAAGCAAGCAAGCAGGCAGACAGGCAGGCAGGCAGGCAGGCAAGCAGGCGAGTAGGCAGGTGCAACACTGATGTTGCCTCAGGACTGAAACAGCTGTCGTCTTGCCCTGCCCTACTGCAGGCGCACGCGCCAACCGCGTATCCACATTTCCATTACGTTACGTTACCTTTCTCTCTTTCCCTTTTTCTTCCTCACTGTTCCTCTTTCTGTCCACGTTCGTTCACTTTTAATCGGTATCTCCCGGCTCTTGTAACGGTCAACGATCTTCGGTTGGGCGCAGATGAAAATGTCCACCGGACGAATCGACGCCTACCCCGTTTCCGTGTGTAACCACGGGCACACGCATACATAGTATAAGTGAGTTGACACACGGTGCCGTTGCACTTGTCGCTCGCGACGAAAGAAAAATTCGTGCCGACCTGTAATTACACGTAATTCTCGCCAACGGCGAAAGTGCATCAGGTTTTTACTATCGGGATCAAGCTGGTCCCGTTCCAGCTCCGGGTGACTCTCCGTTTCCGACTTTCAGACACAAGTACAAACGTAGACTGATGCAATCGTGACGAGAGTTCAGCTCTGTTGCTGAATACTCATTATCTTTTCTAATATAATTAAACGATTAAAGATGAGAACTGATATAATTTTGTAGACTTCTAACGTCATAAGCGAAGAGTCATTCTCGGGTGAAAATAATTCCTGAATGGGTTAATAGACCAGATGATGAATTATCGATCGTTGGAAATTAACGTGACACTTGCGGATGTCTGCGGAAAATGATCTACGCTTGATGCCGTGTGTAAATTTGCTTATACGTAACCGTGGTGACAAATTGACCGGCTTGTCGATTTGGAAATTATAACAATGTCCCGTAGCTGCATTCATCTCTCCGCTTAATCCGCACAATTTATTTCCTTGTCTCTTATTCGATTCTCGATATCGTAATTACTCGCTGATTACATACTCCACTTTGGAAAACATTTGCAACGATGACTATTAAATTAATTTACGCCTGCACGCTGAATGGAAACGTTTTCACGTGCGCACGAGCTGGAATAAAGATGTTTACGTGTCTATTAGCCGCTATCACTTCTTCGAGGCTTTATTGCTCGATACTGAGGCCGGGAAGGACATTTTATCGTTCGTCCGAGCTGTTTTCCACACAATTTTCTGCATGAAATATCCACTGGAAAATACAATAACTTTAGAATAATCGTAATCACCTGAGAGCCACGAAGTAAAATCTTGATGACGATTCAATTTAAACATTAAAAATAATAATGAAGTTCGAATAGTTCTTAATGTCACTTGTCCGCCATTCGGTCACCTGTTAATCCTTAAGCTGGGAAATCTGTTTGGAACGATTCATTGGTTGGCCAAGGGTTCAATCCCATCCAATGTGCGCCATGGGAGGTCGAGGGTAATGAAAGGGCAGACCCTTATTTCGAGGAGTTACAAAGATATATGGCCGTCGAAATTAGGGGCGTAGTCGTGACGAAAATATTGCAAATTTCACTCAACCCAAACGTAGTACTACCTAACCCATGTCTTTCTTCATCGAGTACCTGGAATACAATGATTTTACTACTGTTTTTCATAAAATTCGATGAAGGCCCGATGATTGTATGAAGTATCTCTTGTTTTTCCGTCTTTCATGCTGGGAATAATTGCCCAGTCAACGAGTACTATCAGCGACACAATGACAAATACATTTGCGTTCGTTCGGCATAGAATTTGCATGGATTAGAGAATCAATAGATAGATTCGTTCCCGCTGCGCTAGGACGATTCAGCGAAATTCTAATGATGTTACTGACACAGTTATTCTTATATCATCATCCGACGATTTCCAATTTTAATTCTCTATTAATTAGAAGTCGAAGTTATTGCGTGGAATTAAAATCTTCCTCAGATGAGGAGCTAGAAATTAAATGCGGGAACGGTCGATGATCGGGTTAATGAAAACGCAGAAAACTTATGTTAGCCGAGGCTGCGTAATTCGAAATCGAAACGCGTGCACGTTGCAATCTTTTCGCAATCGCTGTACGTAGTATGTACAACAAATAACGGGTGATGAGCAGCTCTGCATCTTATTGGCCACACCAATCGTTAACTAACGAGCGAGCATCCAGTTGTTACCAGCAGCGTCCGTTCTTGCACTTTCACTCGCCCTCACGTGGTCTACGAGTTTTCTTTTTTCGCCTGCCCGTTAGGGAATACGCGGAAAGACTCATTCTACTGCGTACCATGCCTCGCCTGGGATCGTTTCATCATCTACTTTTCTCCTTAGCTTTTTAAGTAATCGTTCTCATCGGGAATGAGAATTTTTCTCAATATATCAACGGTCCGTCAAAAGTTATTTGAAATACAGGGTCAGTTTGACTGTAGTTTTCCGGGGCACGGTTTTGCGTAACGGGAGGCGCGACTTTCCACGTTGCAATTACTATCTCGGGATAAAGACTAATGCACACGCGAAACGAAGGAGCGTGAACATCGTTACGTGATCAGCGATTGTTATGTAAATACGACCGCTCCGCTTACGCCCGCAAAACGTCGTTTTTCTCCAGTTTTTCGTTCCCCACTTCCTGCCTGTCTCTGCTCTGTCGCTTCTTCGTAATTTTCCACCACGTCGAACATTCGGACCGTCTCTGACAATTTTTAAAAATTTCTTTCGTTCATGCTGGCTCAAGACAAAATATTTATGATATCAGTTAAAGAAATGCATCTAACATAGCTGTATGCTTCTAACGTAGCAGTTTCGTTCGTTATTTAAGTATAGTGATATAAATTCAACATAAACTTGATATTCAGTATATTTTCACACATTATACTATACAATCTTTTCACTAAATGCATCAAATCCATAGATTCTAACAACTGGAATATATATTCTTCGTTTAAATTTCTTCAGTAGGAGTATCAGTAAATTAGATCTATTGATTATACATAGATTCCAATTTATTCACGTTGTGAACGATCGAAGAGTTACTGGTTCAAACATTTATACGTGAACGGACCTCGTGGCGTGTGAGCTTGAACTTGAAATCATTGTACCTAAATGCGCACGTAGGTATACGTACGTACATACGCCTAAATACCTAAATACTCGTGTGACGCACAGCTTATGCGTTCGCCGCACGAACGTCCCGCCGTGCACGCCGTCGAAGGGATAAGTCGACTCCAGACATGAGACCAGGGATTAAAAAAATGTGCAACGTATCGTTGACTTCTATTTGAACTCGCGAGCTTGTAGGATTTGTCGGATAGGAGCGACAGGCAAAAAGAGAGTAAAGAAAGAGCGTATAAATTAGATGGCGGTTCATTAGATAAGAGAATTAAAAGATTTATGAACAGACTGCTAGTTTTTATGCAAAATAAAACATTTAGGTCAATTAAAAGAATGCATTTCAGATAAACATTCAAGCATGTAAATATGTATTCACTTTCGATATTTTGTAAATTTTCGTGCACCTTATGCAACGTTCTTTTTTCTTGAATATTCAATCTTTCTACGAATGTGTAAAACCTGTACAAAAAGTATATTTAAGAGTCCAGTGACTCAAGTATTTTATACCACAATTCTCAGCAAAATTTTATTTAAAAGCTATTGCACGGGAATAAAATCATAACTAGATCGATTAACGTACAATACTTATTGTGATAATGCAACTGCCTCGTCATTGTAGATACCATTAAGTCGAATTGCATTGACTTGCCTGAGAAAGTCATTTCCATGAAAGAATCGTCCGGGACGAAAGAAACGGCTGATTCAGAGAGTCTCCGATACGCATCGTCGCGTATCGAGCTAGGGCAGCTAGGCAAACGATCAAGTCCATACGGTAATTCGTCCCCGGCTGACGTGGGGTTGAGCCTGAACGGTCTGACAACGGAACAACGAGATAGCGGCGCGAAGCAGGTGAAGAGATGGGGTGGAGGAGTGGTCGAAATTGATTCTGATGTGGCATCAATGGCCCGAAACAAATCGTCAAAGTGGCGATTTTATGTTGTGACCGGGCATCGCGATGGCAACCGGGCCGGAGGCCATGGAAACGTTGCTGGCTCATTCGGGGTTTAATTCACAAACGTAGAGACGGCCAGGTCGGAGATATTCCGGTGCCCGTGGGTGAAAGAGGTCGAAGGGCGAGGGAATCGGTGAAAACGCACGGGAGAGAGTGAAGAGCGGGCCGAAAGCCTGCGAAGGGAGCGAGGGCGAGTAGCAGAGTAGACGAAGGGGGGACGCGAAGGGACGAGGGAGAGCGAAAAAACGGGAGCGGAGGCGCTGCGCAACCCCACGTGTGTTTCTCCACGGGTAGCCATGGTGACGCTTTGGTGTTCGTTATAGTAATGGGTTGGGAGTTGCGCTGGGAGGCGCGCCACTCTCCCACGCTCGCCGGGGACACCTGCTTTAACGATTATCCGCTGAAAGAGAGGAAAACGGAGGACGAAAAACGCGAACGCGGGGGGACGAGACGACTCTATCGGACGTGGACGCGGACGCGCGCACTTATCATGAATTACGATGGGAAAGTACGGCTTTACTCGAACGTGGCCCGGTTCTCGAACTCGACGAACGCTGGTAGGAATCAATTTTCGGTGAGGGTGGTTCCATTCGATTCCTCCGATACTCGTTCATTTTTTATGCAATCGCGATTCTACGTCTGATGACTCGTCTTTAATACGACTTAAACCATATTTCTAATCTTATCTATTACAATCAAGCATTGTGTACGATTGTTAGTGATTAACTTTCTGTAAATGGATAGTACCTATTTTTTCCTAGAGGAGGTATATTTCGCACACCTTTAGTTGCAACACACGCGAATTCCCAGCTAGTGCTGGCCGCAGATACGAGACGGTGAGTCACACGTTTCCAGCTCTAGATATGACAAATATAACCAATGACCGGCATTAGCCGAGCATATCGCCGGCGTCGTCGTGCTATTCGGTTCCTGTTTTTCTTGCCTCAGAAAGTATCTCGCAATAAGTAAAATTGGAAAAGGCCATAACGACATCGTTATCGTGAATAATTGCCCGGCAGTTAGCGTGCAATTAACCGCGACAGAGAGCGAATTTTCCTCAACTGGAGTTCATTATCGGAAGGCAATGATAATTTCAGATAGGCTTGTTTGGTTCTAGTTGAAACGTTAAAACCAGCTAAGATGGAGGCATCGAAGAATTTGCTATTTTTCTACAAACCTCTCTTGTATCATTTTTCATGCATAGAATTAGAAATATTGTCATTTACTTTATACGATCTCCTATCTTGTTCGCTCTGACCAAATCTAATTTTCTGTCCTTATAACACCGAGCGTAATCATCTTCCAATTCCTCTCGACTACTTTTCCACGCGGTCCCTTTTTCGCGACGCAGCGTCGTCGTTGTTTTCTGAGCACGAGTTCCCACACGCCGGGATTGTTTGCGACGACCTACGACCCGGTTCGCGTCGCAACATCATCGTTACATTCACGCAAATAAGGTGGACGAGGCTAACCGAAACCACGTCTATCCTCCTCCTCTCTTTCTCCTCCCATACGCTCGTGTCGAGGCCCCCTGTTGAACCCGGAGCCGATGAATATGCGATCACGTTGCTCGTTCGATTTCTATCACTCATTGATCTCTCAGGTCAGGAGGATGCTCTTAACTTCTGCCCGATTACAGCTTGTCCAAAGACGTCACTTTTGCCACTTCACGCCGATCTTTCATTTCGTTGCGTCCTTTTCATTGAATGCAAATTATTAATTTACGTCGCGCCGATTTGCCACCTGAACCCGGAAATCGTCGTGGAAGAACATTGTTAGTCGGAAGTAAAACAAAGTCTCTAATTATTTTATTTCCTAGAATCACAATTTGATTCATAGAATCTTTATCTGAGAATTGATTCGATAGCACATCAATGTGAAAACTACAGGACCCATGGAAATCGATTTTTCTAGTTTCAAATTTCATGTCTCTCTTGAGAGGTGAACGAGCAGGCATCCACAGAAATAAGTAACTTAAGGTTTGAACGTATGCAAAGCAGCCGGTTGCCACGCTGATAGCCACTCGCAGGGCAGTACACCGGACGTTCCGTCTGTAAATTTATGTTAATCGCGACGTATCAGTAGTTCTGGAAGTTCAAACCGACCAACGAGTCGGTATACTTTACCAAAGAGACGCGATACGGAGTTGGTTGTTAACGCGGCCTGAATAGTTACTTCCTTCTTAAACAGTTCCCTTCGCCGAAACATTGAGAATTACCAGTATTTACAGTGAAATCTAATTATGCAAAAATAGCTGGAATGATACTTGCATCGTAGAATGTTCGTATCTCATGATTAAGAAAATTAACCAGAAAAAAGCTTCCATCAATAAAGAGATTTCAGGAGTTTATTGAAACTTCAATAATACTATCCATGCCTGTTTCTTCTAATCTCTTAGGTTTAAACTCCCTTCTTATCGCAACAACCTAGTACCTATGTATATCATTTTTCTCACGGACCCATGACCGATACCATAGTCCAGTTTCCCATGGTCGGCTGGACCGTCGTCATATCCCAATTTCCGGACCTCTACACTCCTCATACGAATCTTCTCTTGGATTTAAGAAGAAAAAAAATCAGAGGAGAGAGGCTATATAGAGTCAGAATAAAGGACCCAAGGGATGCATCGGGAAGGCAAGGGGTGCCGATATTCTAATTTCGAGATCGACTGACCTATGCGAATGGTCAGTCGGCCTAGATTCCCATGGACGCTGGCTACCTGGATCCGTTTCAGTGTCTGTCCCGAAAAAGGATCGCGGTCATCGGCAATTTTTACCTGGACACCCCATGCGCAGGGACAGTGCGCGGCTACCTACGCGGTCGTGATACGCCGTGGAATCTATTTAAATCAGGTCGAAAAAATCCGTTAGACACAGGTGACCGTGTCCGTCCAGCAATGCGTCCACGTATACGTGTGTCGACGGCTGATGGGAAAGAGAGCGAGCGCGTTTACGTGGCGAACCGTTAAGTTAAGGGATGCGGGGTGTCTTTTGCACCTGGACAAAACCTTCGTCCGATATATTAACGTTGTCTTTCATTTTCGTCTCTTTTCTCTATTCCTTCCTCGCTTCTTCCACGTCGCCGAGTGTCGCCACGTTAGTTTAACTAGAGCAACGGACCTTCACCCCTACCCAGAGGTTTCGTTTGCTCCGTTTTGCTTTCGATGACCGTTGAAATTTTGATTGGGGGGTGCTCGGGTGGCTCTCGCTCGATTTTATTCGGAGCGATGGACTGACCCCGATTTACCGTTGGAGAATTTACTGGTCAACCCTTTCAGGATTTAAGACTATGGCTTCTAGAAATGTCGAGCTTCTTCAATATTCGTTTGTCGTAGAAAGATTTTTGAAGATTTGGATGATTGAAATTGACTTTTTTGACATGTTTAAAAATTCATAATAAATGTTCATTCGCTTTAAAAATATTGCGGACGAGTACTGTATTGTTGTAACTGGAAGGTTGAAGTAAGTATCAGGCGATTATTTCTCTCTGAGAATTTGCACATGTTTTGCTCTGAACCTTGAAATTTAAAGAGACACGTAAGTAGAAGTTTATCGCTCGTTATCAGGAGCATTATACCGTCATATCCTTTACATTATTCAATAGATATTACTTGGAAGACAACATTTAAATGCAGAAGTTGAATCTGAAATTTTCGAAGATGCCCGTTACTGATAACACTCGCAGTCGCGCAAAGCCCATTGCGTCTAAATAGTAAAAAAGAAATAAGAGGTCATAGTAAAAACACTTCGTCGAGTATAAAACATTCCTGAAAAAGAACTCGTAATCTCCAGGAAAGAGAACTGACAGATTTTTATGTCCAACTATTACTTTTATCTGCACTTATTTATTGCAGTGTGACTAAGGCATTGAAGAACCTCGCTTCGATTGAGTCGTTCTTTTTCACATCGACAGTCGCTATTCTTCTTTATTACGTATATTTTCTACATTCATTTCTGCCTTAACGTTTTAGTCATTTCTGTCTGAAAATTTCGATCTCTATCCTCTGATTCATCGTACAGCTCGTGCACATTCTATTCTCCAAATTAATCTGCAGAAAATTGCCTGCAGAAATCATTGATCAAGTCCTGTCACCCAAAAGAATACGACCCGATAAATCATCCTCTTTCTTATTCCACCGCAAACAGCCAACGGCTTCTCTTCGTACCGCAGTTGTTCGAAAACGGTTTCAAACTTGGCGAACGCACCAATGCCGGTGCTAGGTATTGTGCATTAATTTTTTCTTAGCTATGACCACCAATCGTACGGCACGTCTAGAAGAATATGGTACGGTTTATCAGCGTCTAACACTCGCGCGTCCGGCAAAGGGTTAGTCGGAAACAAGGGCATTTAAATAGATCCCCGAAGGGGTCATCTACCTGCGCGATCCTGACCGTTTCACCCCTGGGCCCCAGTAGAATTCTGACCTGCGGACCTGTGAGTCCCTTCGGGAATCTGGTTTTCCACACGCGCCCTTCGAATCGAACAGGTAACTGAACTGTAAGTCCCCGCGGAACGTGCAGGTATACGAACCCTATGACCTGGGTCACGTAATTTCCGGTTTTCCTCTGCAGATGTCTTTCGCCCTTTCTTCTTAATTTTTAATTCTGACTGCTCGCGAGATTACTGCAGCATCTTCATATTTTACAAGGGTGGTTTCGAGAATTGATATCTTGGAAGGCTCTTCAATTATTAAAGTGCAAATTCGTTTATACTTAGAGGAATTGTTCAGTTGAAACTAAATAATTGAGTTGCGTTTATCTTGTTTTTTGTACTGAAATTTCATTTTAGGAAGACATCGGATATGGAAAAGTGTATTTCTGAAGGCGATCGATTTAAATAATGTTAATCGTCTTGTTCCCTTTGAAAGATACGAGGATTGCTCTGGATGCTGCGCAAGCGTGATCATCTCGCTTTCTATTGGCCTCTGGAGCACAACCAATCCCAATTTAGATCTCCCCACTGTTGTAATGGTCCAGCCTCTCGTCCACTTGCCAGAATCACGGGACTTTATCATCTCAATTAATTTAGTCACAAGCTCAATTGTAGGAGTAGTCTGATGCTTCCCGGAGAAAAACAGCGAATTATGCGACTTACTTACAGAGCACATCATGTCCGGTACTTCACGTACAGCCATCATCCAAAAACTCAATCACTCAGATCTTTCTTTCAAACATTACCAATTTCTTCTTATTACACGCTCATAGTATTTAGTCTGTTCATCCACAGCATTAATTACAACAAATAAATCAGAAACCTTCCTATAAAATTACCAAATAAAAGAAATAGAAATATCGGATGTAGTGAAATTCGAAAGAAAAACGAGCACACGTTTTGCATTCGGAGCGCAGCGTTTCTAGCATAATCCTTGCGCAAGTGGCGAGTTATCATGGCGCGATGATAACAGCGACCGGTTTCCTCGGGCTTCGTGGAAAAATCGCGGTGATCGTTCATTTAAATCGCCGGTTGCGACCGTTAACTCTTCCTTCGACCGATAATTGTCAGCCGACTTACTTTCAACCTCACTAATTGTTCTTGAATTATTTAAGCCACGCGAAATTATACATACCGTGACGTTAGTTAAATCGAATCAGTTAGCAAATCAATTTATATCAATGCTCAATTGGTTAATCAATTTGACACTCCAAATTCGGAGTTCACATTCATTTTTTATGTGTTTCACGATGGAATTACATAATTTTTTAAATATCCATTACGTGATTCTTGTAGAGATTCTCGCGCCAAAAATAAATCCGGAAGCAGAATTTCTCTATTAAGCATCGTTTTCGTAAAGTATTTAAATTATTATCA